GACTATCTAACAGGTCTTCTTGATTCCTTCTCCTATTTTCTTTTGTTGTCTTTAATCCCCTGCCTTCTCTCCTAACTCCCTTTCCAAAGCTCTGTCAGTTGCTTTTGTAATATATTAACATCACAATACCTCCCTAGCTTGAATTAGCATCCGCTAATCTTAGCTGGCACTTGAACTACTGCTCAGGGCTTCTTACTAGCTCTGAAAAATCTTTAAGCAACTATTTTGCTCTCCGCACAACTTAGATTCAGCTTCCCCTTTCATATTGCTGTTGCCATCATCATGCTCATCCCACGTTCACAGATGTCATCAAGATGACACAGAGAAGAATCAAAATGCAAGCAGTCTTTCTCGTGCTTCTTTAGCACAACAAGCAATCACTACTACTCATCTTCAAGACTTCATTTAACTGTTCACTCCTGTTTGTCTGACACACTTTCTACTGTACGTTACCCCTACTTTTTCTTTTGAGAGTTTCTCCTCACCTATCCTGTTCATGACTATTATTCAGGATTGTACCCTGTTCATAAAGAGGGCATTTCCTAATGAATGATTCCTTTGCAGATGGTCTTTATTTTCATAGCCACAGTACCAAAGACTAACAGACTTATAAATCTACCTCTGAATCTCACCATCATCTCTGGTACTTCATTTCAAAGATTCCTCTTTAAATCTGTATAATAGAGATACGTTAAAATTAATAGATACCTTAAAAAAAAAAAAAAAAAAAAAAGAAAGAAAGAAAGAAAAGAAAACTACCCACAGATACTTCTTTAGTTTCATTCTAGTGACATTCACTTTCCTCTCTCCTTCAGCCTGTGAAACTCAAGTATCATCTCTGAATTCTTCAACATACCCCATCCATTCTACCTTTTCCATTTTTGTCTGTTTAATGCCCTTTCCTATAATACATTTTATACTCTCACACAGCTTTGCTTTAAATGCACCACTGGCATTAGAGTAGCAATTAAAATTATCAAGTACAACTTACTGGTTAAGTCAACACATACAAGCATTTCCACCTGTCACAGAGCAAATCATTTCAATCTTAAACAGAACAAAAAACTCTTGAAACAGGAAGACATTGAGCCAAAATAAACCATAAGGGTTTTTATTTATTTATTTATTGTAACAGAGTATACTCTCTTCTCAATATTCAAGTCTTGACCTAGCACCAATCAGGTGCAGAAAAACTACAAATAATCTTGGCACGCAGCCACACATGCTATTTCTCAGTCTTTTTTATTTGACAAGGTTTCCATAAATCTCCCAGGTAAATGCACCTAATTTGGAATCAGTCTAGACAGTGACCAAGAGGGTCCTGAATTTTCTTTATCAGCGCCAAATACTCATGTGAAAACTGTGAGACCTAGGGCTTCCCTTATTTCAGATACCAGAGAATACTGAATACACCCTAACAAAGACAGTATATTCTGGCAGAGCGGACATGATTTCGAGACAGCCCTTTTGATGATCTCGGAGGAGAGGTTATCACTGGCATCATCACAGCAAGACTGACATTTCAAGGCAAGGTTTAAGCTGTCAGGAAGGACCAGATGACACGTTTTTATTTAAGCACGAATGGTTTTGAAATAGAAATGGGAATTTCAGTGAGTTACAGGTTGAACAAATTGATTCTCTACGATCTATTTTTCACTTTTGCTCCAGTGAGGAAGTTTAAGAAATTCACACTACATAGAGTCAAAGAAATTGATGGTTTCATACTAGCATTATATCACTGCCAGAAGCTTGAGCTAAACCAATCACTTTTTAACTAGAAATGGGTCTGAGACATGATGTTCTGATCTCAATCTGAACTTCACAAAGTTCACGGTGGTTATGTTAGGATTTGGTATTTGGCTTAGGTTCTTCTCCACTTTTAATGATGAAGAAAAATCTTTTAAAGTACCAGTGGACTCTTCTCTATCAAGTTTAATAGAAATCAATAAATCAGCTTGATCCAATCTCATTTCAACATTGTAAGGAGTCTAAATAGGTGTCTTTTAGCAGTGCAGTTATAATAAACCTCCCTAATTCTCTCTGGGAGTAGTTTTAGTGTGGATGTGAATTCCAATATGAACAGGATTCGAGGACATCCCTGGACATATTTGCCTGGTAATTACTGGGCAGAATACAAACTTTAAATAGAGAAAGATTTTTAGAACACCAGAGCCCTCTACTGACTTAACACCATATTACTTTTTTTCCATAAATACTGCAATAAAAATCAAGAAGATTTGATTTTGAATGTGAAAATAAAATGTGAAAGGCACCGAGAGAAGCAACTAAAGCACATTGGATTAAATACAGAATCTGTTCTTCCCAGTTTCCAAATAGGCAAAAGTCATGTGGATAGAGAAACATTAATTCAAAAAGAGAATCTCTCAAGAAATCTCTTATGACCATTTTATATTTCTACAGTTTTAGTAATTCACCCTGAGGATGGAGCTCATTTTGCACCACTGTTTGTAATTTTCATACAAGCACAAGAACCAGAGGCAGGCAGCACCTCAGAACTTCAGCCCCTTTCAGGCTCTATTTTGTTTTGCCTCTTGCTGCACTGCAGTGATCTCAGCAGAGTGCCCATGCAGAGAAAGGGAATAAACATAAAAGCTATATAAAGGGTGTGCTTTCATGATCAACTAAAACTAAACTAAAATCAATGTTGAAAGGGCAGAGCTCATACAACTAACTATACAGCCACACAAGCAATAGATCCAACACACACACTCAAACACACACACACTCCCAGTCAACAAGCATATGCAACTGGAAGAAAACAGATTTGGATTACGGAGGGAAACACAACAAACAGTCTTACATTATTTCAGATCACTCATAATTTGCCATGAGAAGATGTAACAGATCTGCCAAGGGCTCTTTAATAATAAAAGACTCTGGAGCAGTATTTTAATCAACACACACAGTCCTCATGCAACACAGTCAGAAAAACTGACTCAGGAAAGAAGGTAGAACTGGGAATTGCTCCCTACCAGCAGAGAAAGGCCAAGAGATTACACGAAGCAAGAAAGATGCTCTCTACAGCTAGACCCGAGCAGAACAAGAAAGAAGAGAGCAGGAACTGGATGCCTCCCACTAAGATTCGAGGGAGATGTGGTCAGTTTCAAATGACCTACAGTGCTGCAAAAGAGAAATTGCTCTGCTGAGTCTGTAGTCTTCATTTAAGTACCATATTTGTCCCTTAATCAATAAGATCAGTACATGCATAAGGGAACCCTCAGAAGTATCCAGGGACAATAAATATCCACAAACAGTGACTTTACATACATGAAAATAAATTATCATATTTCACAGATTTTGATCAATGTAACACCTCAAAACCATGGTAGCACAATAACATTTAGCATTCGAGTATTGTGTGATGAAACTAACATAAAGGAATTTGAATCCCTTCTACTGGAATAATTGAAGAGAAACATGGTTACCTGTAATCTGCTCCTTTTTTATTAAAAACAAACTCCAGTTCAAAACATAATTTAAATGGCAAATCTCCTGCTCATTACCATAATCTAGATCAGAGATATCAGTACAGTTGTAATGTACTGTGCTCAGCTATGAAGACCAATTCCTTCACAGGGTGTTCAATAAGCCAAACACACCGTAGGCTTAAGTTCAATGAAATGCAGCCAATACAAATTGGACAAGATTATCATGTCTCAGCTGCACAACAATTTTGGATCCAATATTTGCTGATTGGTTTGAAACAACATATCTAATGTCTTAACTTCCTTGGAGGATAAGTAGAAAGAAAAACTTTCTTGAGTCTCAAATCCTGCCATGCATAGGAAAGAACAGTAAGATATACTGCTGAACATTTGGGGGGATTGGCCCCCAAATCCATCAGAATAGCTTCACAAAGAAGAGGGCAATGGGAGATAAATTGAGACAACAAAGACAACTCTCACTGTCACAGCATTCACATCTGAAACATGAGATTGCCTATATACAAGTTTGCCTCACACAGGTTTAGCAAAAGTGGGCAAGGGCTAAGAGCATACACAAGCTGCTTTGGCTTGGCCTCTGGGCTGTCTAGAGAGCAAATCCTGTGTGACTTCAGAATAACTCTTCCCCTTCTACCAGAAGGACACGTGAAATAGGGTTACATGAAAGATCTAACAAACATAGTATTCACACTGTTGCCTTTCCCTAAACAAGGGCACGAGAACAAGGCAAGCTCGTAACAACAGCTCCTCAGAATACTCTCCCAGGCTCCAGCAATTCTTGACCTGTGGGTCAAGGATTTCCTTACAAAGAAATAATACCTTTCACTCAATGTCCAGCAATAGATTTTTTTTTCCCCACTGATTTGCCCAGTTGTTCACTGAACTCAATTATCCACATATATCCTCCATATACACAGAATCCTATGGTAGGAGCTTCACAGTTAACTAAATTATATCATGCTGTAATCATTCCCAAGTGAATATAATCATTCAAGCAATATGAAAAACTCTAGATTTTGAGAGCTGAACTATGGACCTATTTCTTTTTTTTTTTTCTTTTTTCTTTTCTTTTTATACTGGATTTGTTTATGGTGCTATTGTCTACAACAGAGACTGGTCAACCTAAAAGCAGAAAGAATAGGAGTTGATACATATTTGATTTATGTACTCGCTACCACACTGTATAACAGGAGGACAGTGAAACCAGTGCACAAAACAAACCTTCTGCATTAGCAGAGTGCTTATGACACACACTTAAAGAGTGAATTAATCGCAGCCCTGCCACTAACCTGTTGTGACTCTCAGGGCTTTTCACTTCACCTCACTATACATTCAGTTTTTCCACTATACAATAGACATAATGATACTTCTCCTACTTTTTGAAGCCTTCTGAGAATGGTAGCAACAAAAGTACTACATAAAAAGAAATACATTTATATTGAAATGTATCTATTCACTAAGAGCCATCAATTTCTAACTCGCTAGTTAAATCATCTTTATAAGTATTCATTCACAAAAAGAATATGAAAAAATTACCTGCTCATTTTTGCAGATCCACACTGTATTCCCCTGAAGCAGAATAAAGATTTTGGTTTTGTATCCTTTCAGTTCAAGATATCCACATTTCTCAGGGGCAACAGAAGTTCGAGGCTGAGAGTTATTATCAGACTGTGATTTCAAGGCATTGAGTATTGTATTAACCCAGTCATTCCTTTCTTCTACAAACAAAAAAAATTAGACAAAGACAGGTTATATGTTAAGCAGCAGCTCTATTCTTCATTACCATACTGGGTTTCCTATTCTTTGCGTTATGTTATGCTGTCATATAGAATAACTGTACCAGATCAGAGGATCCAAGTGAACATCCACCTTGAATAGGAAGTGGGAAAGGAGGGTGGGAAGGAAGTGGGGTGGGTGGGAAGCGGAATAATAAAAATAAAGGCATAATTAAACACAACCCCTGTCAGATCCCTGTTAGTGGAGAGATTAGAAAAAAAAAAATGTCCAATCTCTTAACTTCCAATATTCAACAAGCAAACTGAAAGTAATACAAATTGATGGTCCATACTCAAAAAATTGTGACTATTGGTGCTTGGATGCTTAATTTCAGAAAACTTGAAGACTGAGGCCATAGAAGTGGAATGTCGCCAGTTTGGAAAATAAACAGAAAAAAAACTATAGAAGTTACAAGAGCAGAAATTGTGGAGCCTGTCTGTCACTGAAGAGGCAAGTTGTTTGCCGTTCTATGTTTGGCCATGTTTTATGCAAAAATATTTGGCAGTTTACCACCTATTCCATTAAGGTATAGTGGCTAAGCTTGATGTTGGGAAGGGAACTGAGTAACTGAAAAAATGGACATTTAAATACCTCTTGCATGCATTATCATTATTCAAAACATTGCAAATAACTGACAATTGTCAATTAGCAATAATTAATTATAACATTAACAGTGCACAATTAATGTTATGTCACTAATTGATAAACAAAGTAATAAAATTCCCCTCAGTCCACTATGTTTACACATTCACCAGATTAATAACAATATATTTCAATCCTGAGTAGTTTGAAGAAATTTGATCTGTCCCCTCTGATACGAATAATGTGAAAATTTCACTTCTTTCCTCTAAAGGTTGTGAAATTTTGACTACATATACAGGCTGGCTCACCAAAGGAAAAAGAAGTTCTGCTCACGGCATATATAAAGTTCACAAAAGCCCTTCCCAGGATTTCAGAGCACCCCCAAAACAATAATGCATTAACTTTTTAATGGATAAGAAGGAACAAATAAAAGTGCTTAAGGACGAAGGAATGATTTGAAGAGGAACACTGCAGCCTGACAACTTAGCACTGGGATGACAGATGACCTGAGCATTCATTCCTCTTCAGAGTTTAAGATTTGTTTAAAAAAAAAAAAACAAACTTAAAATTTTTAAAAAATAGAATTTTTAAGAATAATTGATGGCATCACATTAACCTAAAGTACTTTTAATACTGTTTCAGTAAAATCAAATAAAATCTGACTATATTTGAACAGATCTTGCATCTAAATCTGTATTATCAATTAATAGAATTTTTTTTTGCCCCTAGATGTTCCTAAGCTTCCCAAAGCTTTACATACAGTTTTTTTTTTACATTTGGATACTTAAATGAATCAAAAAAAGTGTTTCTCAATATATCATCAAAAAAAGAAATTGGAACACTGAATGTGAACAAAATGAACACTACAGTCTATTGATTGAAGACCCATGCAGGTACCAGGAGAAAGAAGTGAATGAACACTGCAATAGTATTCTGTATTTTTAATACTCTGGCAGAAAGAAAGGAAAGCTAACAAATGAGGTCCACAGTGTGAATTTTTTATACAAGTCTCCACTTCAAAATCTTTGAATAGAGGTTAAATACCCTTGGAATAACCCCAGTGCAATTTTCAAACACAAACTCACACAAGGACTAGAATCAACTAACAAGTTTGTGCCCATACCTGAGAGCAAGTAGGGTTGTTTACATAGTTTACTGTGAATGCATCATTCAGCTCTGGATATACTACGGACCAAATTGCTTGTCCAACACATATTTCTCACCTTAAGTGAAATGCTTTAAAGAGAAGCCACTCTGTCCAAGCGGGTTACGTACCAAATACAAATAAAATTTCATGTGTAAAACAAGTGGCTGTTCTGAATAGACAGTATTAAATATTTTATAAGCAAGCATAAGCTGCTAATGTTTTTACAATATTCAAAGGCAATAGTCCATAAAGCAAATTATGGTCTGGCAAAATTCACGTACACACTGCATTCCAGTGTGTAACCAAAAGGAGAAAAAAAAAAAAAAAAAAAGCCTTTAAAAGAAAGCAAAGACAAAAAATAATAAAATAGATCTGTTTTAACTGAGCTAACAGCATAAAATGCCTGAAATGATTTGAGCCAAATCTAGTACGGATTTGTTCACTGATGTTACTGCCTAAAGCGTTTCTGTTACTGCCTAAAGCGAATGTTTACTATCAAGCTATAACCCATAAAAATGGGAGTTGATGGAAATGTGGAGAGACCCTAAGCTATAATGGGGCTGGCACGTATTGCTGTAAATATATACTGCATAACTTTTAAGTACTCCTTAGGTATTCCATTTTATTATTTCCATAAATAAGTTAAATTATACACTCACTAATATTGATTTCACATATTATAGCTGTCAGTCGATAAAGCATTAAATTAGAATATACAAAAACCTCCTATTTACATTTGTATTCTCTATCAATACATTGGTGAAAATACTGTGTAAGACAGTAAGAAAACACTCAGAAAAATCCAGGTTTTCTTTGATCACAGTATCACATCCAAGCCATCAACTTCACTGATTCTCTTTGTCGATTTTATATCAAGCAGTGACTCAGAGCAGATGGCTGAGAACACACAGACTCTAAGTGCTTCTAGTGAGTGCTAAGGAATGCCCAGGGAAAAAAAAAACATCATGTTTGGGAAGTACAGAGTGGGGAAGAGCTGGAAAACAGCATGCTTGATTGGTATTCTTTTAAAGTCATTCCCCAACAAATTCAGTGCTTCAAAGCAGATTTTCTACAAACTAAGCCTATCAGAGTTTAAAGGATACAATTATGCTAAAGATCATAAATCAGATCCTTCAAATACCAGTGTAATAGAGATTTTCTGATGGTCTTGCCAACCCACTTTGGACTGGGTTCCTAAGGAAACAGGCTTACACAATTACATTGTGTGAACTGACATATGCTTATCTATCTATGCATCTAATGAGTTTTAAATCCATAGAATATATCAAGAATATTTTAAATAGGAATGACAGTATGAAAGGTAAATTGCAAAATCTGCATAAGACAGTTGTTCAGCCTACACCTAACACACTTCACAGAAAAGGTGCTTTTGCCTGAGCACAGATCTTACAAATGGTTGTGTGTGGAAAATTTCAGTATTAACTTTGAGACTGTAATATATCAAACTTTATTCAATTTGGTGTCTACAGAAGGTGTTTTTTTTTTTTTTTTTTAATTATGATCACAATATAAAGGTTTCAGGCATGGAAGAGAAATAAGAAATTTCCTTGATCTGCTTCAAGGAGGTTTCAGTAGTCCTGAGCAGTGTTAACTGAGATTCATTAATTCACCTACTCCACAGAATCTGGGAGAGTCCATCAAGCTGTAGATGATATAAAAATAAAACAATTCCACTCTTTCCTCAAAAGAAATAATAAAAATATATTTGTGCATGTGTACACATACATATACACACACATATAACTTCTCTGCAGTCCTAAAACTTGAGTAGCCATTTTCACTGTACCTAGACCATAATTTAAGTTAGATCATATCATATCATCATATCATCTAATTTTATTCTAAATCTCACTATTTCATGAGCCTAAAACAGCTGGATTCCAAGAATACTTCCGATAGTGAGACTTTACACACTGTGTTTCACAAAAATATTTACCAGCAATCACTACCATGACTTTCTAGCAGTCATCACTAGAATCACATACTCCACTTACCTTCTTTATCCACCCGGAAGACAAAAGTCCTGTGGGATGTGACAACTTCAAATTTATTCTCCCCATGAACTCTTACTGTTGCTACAGCAGAAAGAAGGATTATCCCCTTAGAGAACACTTCCTACAATAGAAACACCATAAAAATAGCTTATAAGTCCCAGGGAATATTAAATATCTCATTTAGATACCCGATCTAAATGTCACATTACTTGCTGTGACGTTTAGGAGGTTTATCTATAACGTTCTTAGAAGCTGTAACATTATTAATAGAATTTGTACCAATTAGTAAACTATTTTACTACCTACATATCACCAACTTCACTGTTACATCTCTGTGCATACCTACTGATGTCTAAAATAAAATCCCACACTGAGATATAATGCATATGGTATATATGTAAATGACACTCCATTTCAAGAATTGTCTTGACACACTAACATCACACTCTCACTTTAAGTTACAATTGCACATTAAAGGTAAGTATCTCACAAAATTTTTATCAAAAATAAAATGCTCTTTGAAAAGAATGAGATAGAAAAAAAAAAGGAAAAAAAGTACCTTTCTCAGGTATCAACTTTCCAAATTTCTATCCCTTCCCTTCCCCCTAAGTGGCTAGTCAACAAGAAAAAGGGTAAATAAATGAGCTGATTTCATCTCTAATGATAAACTAAAAAGGTGTCACCAGTTCTCTGCAAATATCCATTGCTCTGTCAATAAAGAGATATTTCTAGCGTAGCTTGATTCTTTGCTACTGTATGAAGTGGAAGGAAAACAATCTCCTGTAATCATCATTTGGTGCCCGAGCCATTTTTTTTTTCCAAATTTTCTATATTTCAATTATGCAATCAGAACTGCTGAACTTAAAATTAAAGCAAATTAGGAAAACAGAATTACCACAAGACTTATATCTTACTGCTTTGGTTTATTAACCACATGCAGGAATATCCCAAGAGTCAGCTCCCCATAAGGACTTTGCATTGTAATAACTTCCTTCCTAAAGTATTAATTCTTATAATAAGACTATATAAGTACTCTAGGTACCAACCACTGTAAAGGTTAAGACGGAGGATGCACAGAATATATTTTCTATTTACGGAGTTCAACATATTTCCTTCACAAATTCACATTTTTATGATGTTCCAAGGTTAGATACACATGTGTTGATGTGTTGTTTGAACAACTGTAACTTACCCAAAATATATAAAAAGAGCCAAAAATCACATGTTGTTATAACTGCACCACACACTACACTCCCTCACTCAGAATGATCTTAGTATTGTATATCTATTCTCATTATGGCTGTACTTGTTCAAAGAGATTTTAACACAGCAGTTTTCTATTTGCTAAAAAAAAAGTGAGATCTCATGTTAACTACTGATCCTTCACAGTACTAAAGCAAAACCTTGCATGGATGTTATTTCTAAAGGTATTCAAACACAACTATATTATGGTGTTTGCAGGCATCTACTGGCAGTATTTGGTACTGTAAGAGAATATCTCAGACTAAGGTCTAATAAGTATATAAGCTAGAAATAATAGCTATATTATTTTACCTACTTTTTTAAAGTGGCTTTCTTTTTAAGAGCATAGTTTTGGTTTTACTGTTTAAACATCTAAAGCTTTTTAAGTATTCTTCAAGGCATATATATTTTCAAATATAGTTTAAACCATGAGAACTTCTCAATCACATTTCTAAAGCTGCTTCTCTTTCATATGCAAGAAATAATGCCTACTATTTCAAGATCTCTTGTTGATCAAGAATCTCTCTCAAATACTCCAGAAAAGAAATCAGGGGAATTATTTTAAAACAAAAAAAAAAACAAAAAACAAAAAACAAACAAACAAAAAAAAAAGGAAGAAAAGGAAGTAAACTTACTAAGATCAACTGCTTTAAGAGAAATGTTTACTTTCCAATACAGTTTACTTTCCAATACAGGGCTCCAGTGGAGCCCTTCCTTATCAGATATGTTTCAGAGCTGTCCTTAAAGGCCTGTAAAAACATGTTTGGGCACTGTTTTGAGTTTCCTTCAGCAACAGACGAACTATGACCTATTCCAAGAATTACACTGATTCTTCTCTTTTCCCAGAAATTTAATTCCTTGTTAAGCTTAGATGCAACATAACATATTTTAATATAGGAACTACTTCCCCTGCAAATCATTATTTTTCTGAGCTCCTGAGGTGCTTTTAAATGAAACCAATCAATAAAAGCAGGAGTTTTGTCTTACTGTAAACTGTGCACCAGAGTTCTTCTGCTGAAAGCAGGAAGAACTCTGAAATAAAACCTGTGCATAACTGGTAGATGAAAAGAATTCTGAAACTGTATCTTCCTTTCTTGAGCTTACTCTTGCTTCTGTTAACCACATTCTGTTAAAGACAAAACCACACAGGATGTTGCTCTGACCACATCATCTTGCGAACAGATGAAATGAGTAGCATCAGTGATTCAAACAAAAACAGTTCCTAGGTCAGATGCTGCTTGTAGGAAATGAATATTTTTCTTCATATATGCAGGTACAAAGGAAAGCAGAGATCTGTACTGACTAAAAGGACACTCTCAGCTAGATCAAGGTTAGAAGAAGTTTTAGACAACTCAGGTTTAGATCATTCAGAAAAATGGTAGGGTGGGTCACAGTACATGTTTTCATGAATGTTCCTCTCCCACTCCTCCACACGCTTCACTCTTGATTAGTCATGTAGCACAATTCTCCTTCTTAAAAATTTAACTGTGTTGTAAGATGTAGTTTTTGGACAATAATTCCTCTCAAGTTCCTAACTCAAGTAACAAATACAGCGATTCAATAGAGGCAGTGTTTCTAGATAAAATCAACACTCTTCAAAATCATTCAGTCTACCTCTATACTCCTTACAATAACCAGTAAAATATCTCTGTAAGGACTGGTTTTCTTCTGAGAACCATTTTAATTGAGATTTGTAAAGCTAAGAGTAACACTTCCTCAGAAATAGCTTGTTTGCGTAGGAGTGTTCTTGGACAATCACACATTAGGACAGAGGGGTCTGATTAATTAAATCTAGAAGCTTAGGAAAAAAAAGGCAAAAAAAAAAAAAAAACACAGCTTCCCTATTTAAATATAATTAGTCATTTAAAACCAGTCAGAGGCAAGACATGTTGCCTGAGCACTGAACTGTTTGACTGTGCCAGTTTTTATTGGAACAAGCAGTGCTGACTCCTGAGCTGCATGAAAGTCTTGAAGTGTCTGCTGATAGTTACTTACAGCATCAAGGTAGCAACACACAGGCAAATGCAATGTGCTGGTAGCCACCTACCAGGCTATGGGAGAAATCATCCAGCAGAGATTACTGGACCAAAACTCCATGCCCAACAATGACACCACAGTTCAGCTTTGCACTGAGAACTATGGATAAACAGTATATTATCATCCTTCCTACAAACAAGAGTTTCATCAAATCCCCAGCTGTCAAGTTTGTTTCAGGCCTTCCTAAAACCTTCACACATCTGAAAACAAGTGACTCATCAAGTTAAGTCAAACACTCGGGCATGGTCAAATTGCATACACACAGATCAACCAGCATCTGTCTATATCCCAGGACTGAGGTTTTCTCCTCCGTTTACAAAAGAACAGAGACAAAGAAGATTCCAACCTTTCTGGAAGATTCCAGTCTTTTTCAACCATCTGATAGCCAGCTTCTCCAAAGACCTTTATATCCAATTTCCCCAGCCCTCCAGAACCCACTGCACTTTTTCTTCTATTTTTTTCTCTTCATCATCTACTAAAACATGTTTAAAAGTGTTGACAGAATTCTTCCTGTTTACAACAACCCAACATAATGATCAACAGCTTTTACTGGAAATTGTCTTTTGTTCCTAATGTAATATGCATGTTCCACAGGAAATCTTACAGTGTTTCTAATATTACACATGCATACAATGTCACCTCCACCAAACAAGCACATTATATGTGCCTACCACTTTTAAGCTTAATGGGCTTTTTATTTCTTCTAAGAAGAGAAATTAAGTAAATTGATCACATAGCAACAGAAATAAAGTTTTGTGGTGAGCTCAAGTGTGCCAGATAGAGAACAAAAATACAAAAGACTTAATGAGAAATAGTTTCAGGAAAAATTAAAAAGGCAAGCAGGCAAGTTTTAAAGACAGGGCCCTAAAGAACAACATATTTTACTTGTGAAAATCAGTAGTGAGAGGGCAAACGAGTCTTTGTGAATCTTCTTTTCATACAGGAAACACAGTTTCACTTGAAAGGAACAATCTGCAAATGCATTTCACAATCATATATCAAAAGGAGAAATACTTGAATCAAAAAAGCATTCTAAAATTGGAAAGAGAGGCAGGGAGGTATATCTTTTGACCCTGCAAATTAAACTAGGTCATGACAAAACTTTTAGCAAGAATCAATCATAGCTACAGATGCAAAGATGAATCGCTGATATTAGTAGCACTATGCTGATTTTTAACAGACCCAAATGCAAGCTACTCTAATGCTTTGAGTTTTTCTCCTAGAAGACAGGCAGGGAGGAAAAAAAAATAGAGTAAGGTAGTACTACTTTTCAGGTTTAAAGTGTTTCACACCAAGCTTAAACCTTCTTTCAAACAAAACAAAACCAAAACAAACAAACAAAAAATCCAATGTGCTGCATTCCCATGAAAGTTTGGTGCTACCAGTAAAAACACATTTGATTTTGTGGTTTGCATGATTCTGTTATGTTTCATAGAATTCAGCAGCCTTCCCCCTCCAATAAAATATGAAGTTCTGGTATCTAACTGAAAAGGTCAGGATCAGAAGCAGGAAAAGAGGATTAACAATAACTTAAGACCTGAAGGACATTTGTATTTTTTTTCTGAATTCTTTCATGGTCCTCATTATGTTACAGGGACACATTTTGTTCAAATCATCACGTAATTTACCTTTTCATTATTGTAATAGGAAATGCTGTCTCCATCAAACTTGACCCAGCGTTTCTGAAACATTCGTTTACTGTGGATAAAAAATTAATACAATTGAAATGATGACAAATTGCACTCATTTCTAAGAGCACTGGAAATGCAAATAAAATATGCTAAAGCATAATGTAACTTACTGTGTTTCAACCTAAACATTCAGAAAACTAAAATAAATATTAGCCCTATTACATCTTTTCGAAAGTAGAATAAATTTCAAATACAATAAAAATATCAAACATGAAAACAGTAAGTGCAATATTAATGGATTACACACTTATGAAGTGTGTTTATCCCCTGCCCATGTGTGCTACATCACTTTTGAAATAATGAGAAAATAGCCTCTCAGTCACTTAATTATCCTGCTCCCCAGAATAAACAATGATTTTTACTTACCTCCACACAGCTTCTGCTCAACCCCTGTAGGCAAAGCTTAGCTACATTAACATTCTCGCAGGACTCTCTGTCCCCAAGGCCTGGAGAGGGAGCCTAGAAGCAGAGCCTCACCAGAGATCTTCCGACTTGGATATTACCAGAGATCTCAGACATTTATAGAGCAGTGGAGCCAGCAGGGCATCACCCTTCGATCAGCTTAGTTCACTCACTAAGACGACTTGGTTTGGCCTTTATATGACACTGCAATGGTTTCAGTTCAGTGAAATATTCTATTCTTCCAAAAATGAATCATTAATCTGCTCTGATAAACTTACAGTGGAAGTAAAAGTGTTTCTGAAATTTCAATTATTCCTGATTATATCCCTTTTCAAAATTCTCTAGCTCTCTCACAGAAAGCATAAAAAATACATGGAAACTAACAAGTATAAAGGAGGAGGGCAGGACATTTTTCTCAGAGATGCAGAAAAAGCTGAATACAGAGCATACCTTTACGAGATGCATGCACTGTAAAATGTCCAAAAAGGAAAATCAAGTCTAAAATGACTCAATGTATCATGAGAAGAGCATCTCTGTTTATAGGGTATGATATCTTCCATCATCAGCCTCTTCTGCACACTCTCTTCCCATGCCCTTTATCCCAGGCCAACTGATTACTGGTGGTCATCCCAAATCATTCAACAAGTACAACATAAAACTTCATTTTCCATCTATTGGAGATCATTGGAGATCTCCATCTGTTGGAGATCATTGATTAGAAGCTCATTGTCTCAGTTTGCTGTTAACTCACTCAATAAGGACCTGCTTAAAAATTATTTTTCATGAACCTTACATAGTTCACTGTGTTCATTAAATTTGTTGACAGCCTATTAGTTACCATCTAAATGAGAGTTTCAATTCTAAAATCCATTAAACAGCCAATTAAGCAAGAACAGGACCCTATTCCAACATCTCTTTTCCCAACATTATTCCCTTTCCTGTTAAATGAGTGCTCTGCTTTAAGATTAGTAGATTGCCGTAGTTTATCAAAACTTTAATTAAATAGCAGCTCCGGGTTAATTAACTTAGATTATATGACAACAATAAATCATATTTTTTCTTAAACTGGAAACGTTTAAGAAACGTTAACGTAACGTAACGTTAACGTTAACGTAAAATCTAGTTTCCATTAAAATGACAAAAAACTTCATATGGTACAGTGAAAACTGAACTTGGTCGTATATACGATGAGAATAAACTCAATGACTTTAAATGTAGAATGAATTAACTGAAAAGAGAAACTGTATTTCAAATGACAAATTACAATTTGAAGTAATTTAAGGAAACAGTTTCAAAAGCTTCCTTCTCTTGACAAAAGTCAAAGTGCTAGGTGTAAATGAGGTGGCTTAGTTAAAAAATAAGTAAATAAATGAAAACAACAAGAACAAAAAAAATCCGCCAACCTCAAACACTCATAAAAAAGAAAAAAAACTATAATTCAGATGGATGAATAAATGGATAAATAATTCATTGTTCTCCTTTTCTCTCAATGTTTTCTCATTGTTCTCTTTTCTCAAAGAGTCTCCTTCTCTGGAGGTCTTCAAAACCCGCCTGGATGCCACCCTGTGCCACATGCTGTAGGTGTGCCTGCTTGAGCAGGAAGGTTGGACTAGATGATCTCTAGAGGTCCCTTCCAACCTTAACTATTCTGTGATTCTGTGTGATTCTGTGAAATGGCATTATGGGAGAGAGAAAAAATTTTAAAAAATCATTTAGTAAAGCACATTTAACAAGTCCTTTAAATTTAACCAGGGAATCTCAGTGATTCAAAACTAATTACACTCCAACTGTTCTACACACTCTTGCTAAATAATAATTTTATGGTAAACTATCTTTTGGAAACAGTACATACTGTATCTACTTGATACTGTATCTAAAGCCACCATCCTCTGTTCTTAACTCTACTGCTTCTAACAGCACCAGTCGAGTCAGCTAAATCTACAAATGTATTTTAGAGATTCTATCATTTTATAGATGCTATCAACTAATGGGCAAAGGTGTGTAAAATACAACAGAAATACAACCTTCACAGTTATACAGTAATCATTACAAATACTGTACCCTTGAGGAGATAATTTATCCAGCCATCCAGCTTTAGCCTTCTTTGCTGATGGTCCATAAAAACAAGCATATGGTGTTATTGACTCGTTTATATTCAAAGCTGGATCTCTGTCAAAAGTTCGAAGATGCATTCCCTCACTGCTCAAGCAATTTGAATCTTCACTGTGGATTTTACTACTGGATTTAGCTTTACTTTTCTTTTTCTTTAAAGAAAAAGAATGTTGTTCCACAACAGAATATACAGAATCACTTTCAAGCTCTTCTGGTAGCAGTGGTTTGCTCTCAGGAGACAGAGCTTCACTTCTCACACAGTCCTTTGTCTTCTCTTCCTTGTTACCAACGGAACTACAAAGAAAAAAGCACATATTACTCTTAACATATTTCCATAATGCACAAGTAAATAAAACTAATAATTAGGATTATTTTCTTGAGACACATTTATTACGTTTTACTTTTGCAGTAACCACAGACCAATGCTAAACATGATATATGTTTTAATTACGACCAAAACTGAATCCCACTTTCTTCAATCATTAGCACCAACAGTAAGGCAATACTTGCGGGTTCCTTTAGTGCTCTCTCTCCCCTTTAATAGGAACCAATACAGACTGAAAATTTAAGGAACCCATGAGCTGATCTGCTCAGACCACTGACCACAGCCACACAGCAGGAGTAGACAACGATTTTATTTATAGTATGGTTGGGAAGATGCAGAATAAGGAAGTATCAAGCACAGTTATCTAGGAGAATGAGGATTCAAAGAGAAGAAGGCACAGTAATGGCTGTGCCTTTCAGAGGTAGAGATCTCTATGGGATATCAATAAAGATCAATTTCCTCAATTCTAAAATTTAACTTTTTTTTTAAAAAAAAAAAAAAAAGCTCTTATTTAATACCAGCATTCCTTGTGAAAAGCGTGTTCTTCATTCATTTCCAGATCCAATTTATTTTCATAATCCAAGAATTCACTTCCATGAAGTTCCTAGAAAATAAACATTTGTACCGAAAGAGTAGATGATGTTAAAATTACTTCAGGTGTAAGTCACACACAAATCCTCCAATTAGCAAAGCTATTTTTGCTTCATTTTAAAATGATATGCATTTTTGAAAGACATTTTACATCAATACCTTAAGAAATATTATTTCCAATATTCCCATTTTAAATAATTATACTTGATAAACAATAGCAAAAAATATTTGAAGGAAGTCCAAAAAAACTGCTGCAGAACAAATTAAAGGAAGAAATTGAAGAAATTCAGTGCATGGAAGTATTAGATTTTTTTGAAAGTACAATGAATATTATTTTAAAACTGAAATTTTCTAAGGTCAGCAGACATGTGCTGAATATATAAAGTATACGCAAATGACGCACTACTGTCAGCCTGTCTTTAGTGTCAATACTTGTTTTCCAGATTAAACATAAAACCTTCAGAATAATTGAAGGATAAAGTTACGATAAAATTCGAGTTCCTACAGTAAAAACAATTCCTCAGACATACCAAATATATCTAGCATTTTCTTGACTACTACTTCTTCCTAAAAGGCACCAGGCCTTTTTTGGTTATCAATATTTGTTTAGAAGTTTTTATCACAAACTGCTCAGTGTACGAAATGCCAACGTGAACCCCAATAAAGAACATTACATTTTGCATTTCCTAAACTTGTCCTGTCAATCTTGCTGCATTACCAAGCTTCTCAGTCGATATTCATTTTTCTTTCTTTAGAAAACCAAGCTAAAATGAACAGCTTCATGTTCCATAATGGAGGCATTTTAATTTATTCATTTAAACTTTGAGGTATACGTCATGAAGCTGAAGAGTGAAAAACAAAAAGTGGATAAGCTTTCACAACTATTGCCATTTGTTTTCTGAGAAACAGTACTACATCTTACACTTGAGAGATGTATCTTGGCAACATGAAAAGGCAAACTTTGAAAAGAGCATAGCCAAAAGCTGAATACATGTAAGTATAGGAAAAAAAATGCAGAAATCACAAGCTGCTGAGAGGGCAATCCTAGGGGAACATTCTGGCTTCCTCTGCTAGCCAGATCCTTTAAAGAAAAGAAGAAAAGAAGGAGAAAAAAAAAAAAAAAGAAAGAAAGAAATGTGCTATACTGCAGTTCTAAGGATTAGACAAAAAAAAAAAAAAAAGAAAAAGGAAAAAAAATAAACAAATCAAATGGTAAACTTAAAAGTGACCAGTCTATTGCTTATCAAATGCTTGCACTGATCAGAATCTCCCAAGTGGTAGCACTCTTATCTCTGCAGTAACCAAAAGTCTAATCTGTAACATATATCTTTAAATAAAAAGGTTTAGGATCTCTCATCTTCATATGCTGATGAGGATACAACTGAAGGCTGATCAGATGGATGAACTCTCCTACCACACCACTGAAGCTGAGCTCCTCTCCTCCCCCTTGCTCCACTGACCAGGCAAAACTCTCCAATACACGTTCTATGTCTAGCCTATCTCCCCAAGGAATCTTCAACATCTGCCCAAGTGGGTACAGGGAGCTTTCAAACAGTCACTACGAAAAATTTCTACTGCTAGCCCCTCTTGAACACCAGAAGTCTGCAAAAACAAGTTGTGGGGAGGGAATATTTTTCCCTCTTCACAAAAACACAGATTCTACTCAGATTAAATCCCAAACACATGCCATAGGATTACTCTGTGAGATGCTCATACTAAATAAAAGACATAGAACTCTCATATTCTATCTCCTGGAAGTCTCTAAAGTATTATATAAAAATTAGGCAACTGCAGCATTTTTTCTGCAAACACCCTTAAAAAGAGAATTTCTTAAAAGATATATATCACACATACATTCTCTTTGGATATATGTGGTCCTTACACACGAGAAGCAAATCCCCTCAAAAAAGAAATTGGGTATCTAAAACCTAAGTAAATGAAACTACCTGCTTTTTTAGCCTTCCTGGTCCCAGCAGCAAGTTAAGCAACCTGAATGGCAAGGGGCACTGCACTTTTCTTGTGGTGCAGCGTACAGGGAATCAGGGCATGGGACAGGAGGACTTGAAGACAGGCATCTCTCCTTAAAGAAACATTGTCATAGTCTTTTTTTAAAGCTAATGTTACAACCCCTCCCCAGCTTGATCCTTGAAATATGCTTTGGCAATATGATTTTACAGCAGGGCCATAAAGGTAAAAGTTCCTTCTTATAAAGGATTAAGAGTGCTTATTTCTAAGTTTCAATATTCATATTCTGGCCAGAATCCCCAGTATCACAATGCTAACAAGCTCACCTAGATTACTGTCCTCAGTAGGCACATCTAATTTAGTCCCACAATCTAGGGTAAGAAATAAAGCCAATATTTCACTCTTCAGGCCTGAAATCACCAGGATTCCTTCAGAGAAAAACAAATTCTAACATATTTGAACTGGCAATGATAATTTTTTACTCTTTATCATTTGTGCTACTACTCAATCATTATAAAAAGCTGTTTCTTCTTCAGCTTCTGCTTCCAGCTTTCTTCCCTCCCGACAGAAGAGAAAGACAAGTTCTCTTTATCGCCTTAATTCCCTTTTCCCTCATGCTGACTTACCTCCAGTCTTTAGTGACTCATGACCTGTTTCAACAGGCACTCCCTTATAAAACACTGCCTTTTCTTCTTCACACCACCAGAACAGGAAGAATGTGAGTGGCCAGCTTCTAATCACTTGGAACAAACTTCATCTAGTCAGCTTAACAATTTACTAGACTTTATTATATAATATAAACTATGTTCTCAAAAGGAACTATTCCAAGAAAAATGAAGGTGCAGTCACAAGTACTAAAATCACAGATACAATGTTGCAGTGTTACCTAAACTTGCTTATTTGTTTCTAGGATATTTGATACCTATTAATAAAATACATCTTAGGTCCTTTGTTTATGACTTTTCTTTACGAACTTCCTGTACAGCATTCTAATAGAAGTGAAATTAACTGCGAATTTTTCAAAATGCATGTTATAAATAAAAGTTGGGAAAAAGAAAGTTAACATACATGAAAGTGATAACTCATCTAAATCTTCAGATCAGAGAAAGCATGTTGTAAAATACTACTTTAATTGAAATCTCACCCCTAGCAGGAATAACAATTCAATTTCAACAGTTAATCTAGTTTAATGGTACTGTATTTTTGTATTTTAGTGCCTTTACAATATAAGAAAAACTGCTAGCAAACTTTCTTGGTGTGCCTCATTACCAAACGTATCAAAAACAATACTAGGCTAGAGAACTTTTTATGTCATCAAACTAAATAAAAAAGTTCTATTTTGTATTTCTAAGTCACTAGCAAGACATTATACACAAAGAAAGAAAAAGAAAGCTCAAAAGAAAGCTACCCTTATTAATCACATTAAAAGAAAAGAAAGAACCAAAAATGCAGATCATCTACATGCTTCTAAACTACAGAAGTCATAACTCCTGGTTTGGTGTCCCGATAGATCAAAAGCAGGATTAAAAAACACCACATCTCACAGATGCCTCATTAGCTACTGCACCTCCCAGCACTTGGCAGGAGTCAAAAGGCTGTCCTCAGGACATCTTTGGCATTTCACACCTTTCGCTACTGACCGCAACCAAAATATTTTGCTCTCCTCCAAGAACCCTACATCAAACGTTATTTACTGGCATACAAGAAGTTTGGAGATGCATGACAAAAATCCAAAGTCCTGAGAACTTTCCTAAAAGAGCAATTTAAAGACTATATAGTCAGAAGAGTATATAGTCAAAAAGCAACTGTGAAATCACCTTAGGTACGACGTAGGCATCCTATGACAGCAGCGTACAAGCCTACATCTGTAGGGATGGCCAATCTAGATCTGCAGTTATCACGACAGAGAAAAGTCACTTTGGTCTTTATCAGTCAAGTTGTAATGGTTAACCACCATTTAGCCTAACTTAAAAACTTGTCTCTAACTGATAGTTTCACATTACGTAGTGCAGCATCCAGCTGCAGGTACAATAAAATCAGATGACTAACTATCAGATGTTTTTGGTTTGTGGTTTTTTTTTAAAGTATAAAATTCCACCTTTTCCTGTTTACTACTAAACAGTACAAAGTGCATCTTAAAATTAAGAAAAGTTGGTAGTCCACAAATATGCATGCTATAACTCTTGTGCATGTACTAGAACAAGATAGAAAAGGTACTGAGAACTGTGAAGAGCAGAGGAGAAAGAAGTTGAGGGCCATGTATAACATGAAGATTAAAGTGAGGATAGATCATTTACGTTCAGGCTTCTCAACTTACTTTAGCACTGTTACCGTTGTTGCAAAGAAAGGTTTCTCCATATGGAGAGATGACAGGTGGCTTTTCTTCTGTGAAAGTTTCTTAAAATAAACAAAAATAAGAATATATATGTATTTAAATACATATTTAAAATATATACAAATACAATAATATACATGGTATTTTCATATATAGTATATAAACCAGTAAAATAAATACACAGAGAGTCACACAAATACTTTAACAAGGAATTACATTATAAAATCACCATGGAATACAGACTTTTCTGGATGTAGTTTCTCTATCAGAAAAAATAAGTGTTTCTTTCTGCAACTGACTAGTGGCTGACCTGATCAATTTCAGTTTCTCTGGTCAATTCAGCGAGTTAATTAAATCTTTTAATGCAAGTTAGCATGCAGAAAATTCTTTTTTTCATGAAAATGACAAAAATCACTTATCCACCAAAACTCCAGTAGTGTCCTACAAAGGGAGGAGGTTTTGTCCAAAACCTTTATAAGAATTTTTGTTCTACAAATAAAGCAGAACTTTCCTACAATGTCATGCAGAAATGAGACTATGTCCAAAACAATCTCAGGTCTCGTTCAAAGTCTTCACAGGAAGACATAGAATATGCTTATAGACAGCAGCTAGGAGGAACTAGAAACAATTTCCCAACAATTTCTAACTGAAATGTAGACACTTTTTTTTTTCTCTGCTATTATCCCCTACTGTTTTCTTCAAATTTACTCTATCTTCTTAAAGGTAAATTATTTGGACATAGCTTGCATCCTGCAACAAGTTTTCAAAAATTTAATTGCAACAGAGTCCTTCATTCTGTCTTAAAAAAGATATTTGGGGGGGGGGGCACAAATTATTTGTTTGAAATTAACATGGGTCAGTTTAAAGAAGACCTACTTCTATAGTGAAAAAGGAGTTCTGTTGACAACTGATTGAGCAAGACTTTTAACCTCTTCTGGTAAACTACTAATTTCTAATATTTCATTGAACTTTGAGACTTGCTAGTAAATTAAATAGCATTCAATATAGAATATTCTCTTTAAATATTTTATTACAAGAGTAATTCTGTTTACAAACAACTACACATAATCTTATAAAGTTATCATACTCTACTTTTAAAAGGTATATTAAAGTAAATGATTTTTAAATCCTGGATTTTCTAATTTTCATTCTATGAGTTCAAAAAAAGCTCATCTCAGTTAAAAAAAAATGCAGATGTGGTTGAGTGCTTCGGCATTACACACATCACTATTTTTAGCCTTTCCAGATTCCTAGTTTTGCTAAAAATAAAAATTAAAAAAAAAATAAAAAAAAGAAAGGTCAATACTTATTTTAGACAACTTTTGGTCTGAGGTTTCTTTTTGTTCAATATTCAAGATGCAGACGTCAGCACGCTTGACTCACTTTTCTGTGAAATCTGTCTTCCAGGACAAGCTATATTTGAAAGCTCCACATTTCTTCTTTTCTGAAGGGAACTCGAATAAGACAAAACACAAAATGAAATCATTAAGCGAAATATCCCAGAAGCCAAACAAAAACATCTTAGGCAGGTTAACTATTAAAAATGTTGGCAGAAATATAAATAGTCAATTTTAGGTCTTTGAAACTTTTCTGATTACAGTTACCCAACAACTTGTTTTTCTTCCTTTGGTACAACTAATAACCCTCTGATCTGAACATAAATCTTAGGATTTTTCCCTCTGGTTTTGAATTAGCCTTATGATACATTTAGAAGTCCAGGGTTCTCAGCCCCTATGCTCCCCCTTCTTCTCCCACCTTTACTCTCACTTCTCCCACATGCTGATTCATAAGGACTACATTTAAAGGACTGTTTACAATGCAAGTCAACTTCTAACATTAAACTCAAAGGGAATCCGGAAATCCAGCAAGCACTGGATTTCCCTTTCAGAGGGAAAGCAGCAGCTCCTAACATTATAGTTATTAAAAGCTCTTAGACAATACAAGCAGTTTGGAGGTAACAGGTGATAAAAAATTGATGCTCTGAGCCACTAGGGGAAAACAAATCCTGGAAAGTACTGAATCCCAGAGATGATTTGCTTTGCCAGAAAGCTTTCGATCCGAGACATATATGAAATTGCTTTGCAATTGCTTGCGACTAGCATTTCACATTTTGCAGATGAATGTGTGTGTATCACCACACACATTACAAAAATGACAGTATAATTACTGTTGTGCTGTCCTCTACGTATTTCAACAATTCCACTCTTCATGGTGTCAAAAATCACAGCTTTATTTTTATTACTGAGTTCTCAGACTGAAGCACAAACTTTAGCAAACAGGAAGAAATAGATATGCTTGAGGCAGAATGCTTCTAAGCCATCCTTACTAGTGCAATAATTAGTTCTAGAGCTGTTTTTATCTAAGTTCTGATCTGCCCTTTTAACATGAAGAACTCCTCCATGCTTCATTTCCCCTGCTTGAAGTAACAGCAATACAGATCCTTGTCTGTCCTTTAAAACTATTCGCTGACTGTTAAATGCTATGCAAAAATCTGCAATTCTTTTCTAAAAAGATTCACAGGTCTCCCATCTCTCAAAGCCAATGAGATCAATATCTTTATCAAAATTATCAACATTCCTAATTTCTATTTCCCCAATAGATATATTGACAAATTTTATCCTATTAAAATTAAATATACTCAAGGCTTCAAAAATACTGCCCATGAAGAAGTTCAAGTTGAATTATCCTGTTACTTACTGATATTTCTCTATAATGGAAGGCATACATTTATGAGCTCCAATTTTTTATCATTAGCATTTTTAACCGTACAAATGCATGGCTAAACCTGCCCCAAATTAATTATTAGTTTAAGCTCAGGACAGAACCTGCACCTTACCAAGTTGCTTGACATCTCAAATGTCAGCCAAGTACAATCAATTAAGTTTCCCCAAAGTACTTTGGAAAGTCCTGATTTTAGCAAACAAGGAATCAATGTGCCCAGCTGAGCTGGATCACAGCCTATATCCAATATAATACATGTTTGTTTACTCTCCCAAGTTACAACAACAACAATAATAATAATAATAGCTTGCATTTCTTTACATGTTTTATATGTTTATACTCATGTAGCTACATCTTAAACTACATTCAAGAACTTTATGTACTTGTGCTAATCCAATTCTAAATAAATAGGTACATCTAAAAGCAAACATATTTTAACATAGTCTTACAAAGACAGGATACAACTGTTACATTTTTAAGGATATTAATAACATTAAAATAAGTTAGCTACAGATAAGCAGCTTTCACTTATAGCTTTTTCATTTACAGCTTTCTTACATAAAATAGTGAGTCACTGCATTAGTTTCAGGGTGGAAGGATTTAAAAGTGAGCAATAGCTGTGAGTCAATAATAATACTGATAAATTCACCAGGAACAGAAAAATAATAAATAAGCTTGCAAAGATCAACACTCTTTTTTATTCACATATTTTTCCAGATTTCTTTTTTTTAAGTACACATAGGTATTCCATAACATGTGGTAAGGAATCCTGTTAATAAGCCAACTATAGTCATTTTTTTCAATCAAATGTAAAATCTCTTAGGGAGTTTTGGAAAACAAAGTTCTAACCCATGCCAAGTTAATATTATCTCAAGGAATTAAAAAAAAAAAAATCAACAGAATAAACTTATTTTGAATTCTGTTTGATATAGAGTATGCACAACAAACAGCATACGGTGCAGGCTAAAATAGTAATCTTCCAACTATGCTAAACTACTGCATAAATGGCATCCTTGGGTTAAAAAGTGTGACAATATTTATTTAAGGTCAAACAAGATTTAGAAAATAAAAATCTTACTGAAAATGCTAGATGAGCCCATGGCTTTCTTTAACATTTTCCGAATTTTAATGCCTCTTCAGATTAAAGATCTTTTCTATTTTGCCTTTTGCGTGAAGGTGAGCACGAGAAGCCTGCCAAGCTGACGGAGGCACACCAATGATTTCGATGAGATTGCAGCCCTGCTGCCATCGCGGGGAGCGAGGCCCTCGCTCCGCACACGCTCACACGGGAAGCAGCCCGGGCCCGGCCCACTGCCCGGCGCACACACAGGATGAAGGGGTGTGATGAGCTGGGCCTGCTGCAGGCGAGAGGCTCCAAGGCGAGAGCTCTGCACGTGCCTGGGTCAAGCTCTTCCAGTCAATATATTCCCACCATCTCCCAAATGAGGAAAGGCAGAGAGTTCAGAGCAAACAGTGTTTCCAAACCTTTACTGGCATTCGACTGCAGATTGCCTTAGGTGAATTAATTTTGCTTTCAAAATCATTGAAAATGTGTTTTCTCTTCTATCCAGCTTTGGATGTCCTAGCTCACCACACTCTAATGCAAACAGGTCAGAACTGCTCCAGCAGGCTGTATTCTTGCAGTTTGGGGGTTCAGAGACGGCTTCCAAAGGTAAACTAATGCAATTACTTGGCCATTGGAAAACAAGACAGAGCAATTTCTCTCCCTCAGAAAACTGCTCAAAAGCACGCAGGGTAAAAAGATGTGGCAGTACTAGCTCGGGCACCCCACCAGACTAAGAATAGAGTCTAAAGAGCAGCAGCAAGAAATTCCATCATCAGGATGAACTCCTGCTAAGGCCAAACAGCTTCTTCTCCCTTCCTCCCTCTTCTCCCTGCTCCCTTTTCTTCACACGGCATTTTTCAGAATTTGCTTATGGTTTACCTCTTCTTTCTTTCTTTTTAAATGAACACTCAGAGCAATCTTACTACCAAATGCTAGCAATAATGTAAAGCTGGGGGATATGAGAAATCTAAATGCACGTGGAGTCTATTGATCTGAAGTTTCATCTGTGTAGAATTCTGGAGAGAATCATGTCCCCCATCTTACAAATCATCAGAGCATTTTCCTCTAAAGGGACTGCTTCTCTGTATGGTGCAACTGCAGCACTTTCACCTCAGAGAGGTTGCCAAACACTATACTGCAAAACAGCATCCAAGGCTGAAAATTATCTCTATACTGATCACCTCTCATTTCTTTTTAATCATGCTGCATCCTTCACTACTACAGTGAGGCCAAATAAACTTTGAAGAATCACAAAAATCAAAATATTTCCAGCCTCTAAAACTCCATGGCATCTTTCAGGCTGGCAGCAAGTTTTGTTGAAGGCAAGAGTCAGGAGCACAAGGGAGAGACAGGGAAGTAGATGTAATTGCAAGGGGGCAAGCATGTTATTAGTAATAAAACATGACATGGTCACAGCACTGCTACAAGACACAAGGATATCATGAGAAAAGCATTTCCTTGAATAGAATTTTAATGACAAATATCTGTGTCTGACTAGAAACAAAAGCCAAGTTAGCTTCCCAGTAGATTTCAGTTGGATTTCTCTTTCCCTAAGGAGAAGGCTTCACACAATATAAGAAGGATGAAGCCAGAGTCAGTCAATAATAGTCAGATGAGAATATGTTTGTCAGTACAATTCTATAGGAAAGACTAGACTTTCCAGAGGTTAAGGATGCTGAAATGTGTGGTTTTCACGTTTTGTTTTAATCCTCCGTCTCAAAAAAAAAAAAACAAAAAAAAAGAAAAAAGAAAAAAAAAAGTTAAGCTTCACAGAACCATTTTTGATTAAATTCTCTTTTGAAGTTTGGAGTGAGCCTTGATCTCCCTCAGACAGACTGCTGCTTGTCTTCCAGGATTTCTATACTGTTAGAGCTAGAGCATAAAGATGAAGGAAAAAGGTCAGAGTCAGCAAATCAAAATGGTGCATAATGGAGTTGGGGACCTGCTCACACACAGATCAATAAGAGACTGGGGTTTGGAGGATTTACTTCAATGGAAGGGACACTAGAAGTACAGCGTCTGCCCAGCATCAGCTGCTGCTCAAAAGAGAGCTTTCTTTCCACTGCCAGATATTGTTATCTTTGAGCACTAGAGTCCCATTTCAGCTCAGCAAGAACAGTTTTACTGTATGAAATAGGAATAAACACCCCACAAAACGTTAATGTAAAGCTGCTCCTCATTAGAAGATATCAATTTTGAGGACTGAGGTAAGCATAATTTTTTTGCAATTTTAAAAATACACAGAAGAAACATTTTTAATTTAAGGTACACAGGAATGTCTTAGAGGTTGGACAGAATCTTTGCCCCTCCATTTCTTCCATGAAACAACTACATTACAATATTTTAATATTAAGCTTATTTCAAAGAGCTAGAAGAAGCTTGCAAAAACATTAAATGCTTAGGAAAATCCTGCATTTTGGGCAAGTATAAACTTGTTAACAACGTTTCTAACTGCTTAGATATGCAGATGAAAAAGCACTAGATAAATACAAAACATTCTCAGACATATCCCTTCTGGGCATAGTCAGTGGATTAAAAAAGAAATTGGCAAAAAAAAGTGCAATCTAATGATCTGGACAGGGCTACACCACCAAGAATTTGCTTATGCATTTGCATAGATTTTTCTTCTCTCCAGAGATTTACCCAGCATGATGAGTAAAACAGAATAGCCAACATAATCAAAAACATCACAGATAAATCTATGAGCAGATTCTGTTAATACAGCCAATAATTTTGTGTCTAAGAGCACACTCACTGTCTCTTATTTTTAACATTAGTCAATACTAGGACCAGCTGAGTTTTACACCAGATCATTCTTTAGCTCTTCATCATCTTTTTGAAGGACAAGCTACAGCAGCTACTTTTTATTCAAGAGGGTGTTACTCACTTATTTGTGGATTCAATTTAGAAACTCAATCATTTTGAAGGGAAAAAAAATCTCCACACCCACACCACATAAATGCTTTGAAATAAATTCAAACTCTCCTATGCTATTTATCACAAATAACAAACTCTATTTTCTCAACAATGCTGTACCAAATTCAATTAAGTTTTAGTTCTCTTTTTCTTCCCCGCCCCCCACTTCCTTTGACCTGGTCTGCCTTAAAAATATTTTTAAAATACATGTGCCATGTTATTAGACTAGCAGCAGAAGCCACCACCTCATATTAGCAGCTTGTTGCATTTGTTCTCTGACTAAACATCCAGTTTAGAAAAAAGTCTAAGTCATGATGACAAAACTGCTCAGTTTAAACCCACAGTATAATTTTCTCCTCCACGAAGTACCCTATTCTAATTTAAAGCAATGTAAATAACATTCCACAGCAGTCATGTGCTTTCACGCTAACACTTAATATTCTCACGTAACCATCATGTCATGCCCATGCCTGTAATCATATCAGATAATCCTGTTCCCTGCTACATCATACAATGTACAAGAGACGAGTTTTCTAAACTTTGCTTCATTAAAAAACTACATTCATAAATGTAGTTGTGTAAGACTTCCTAAATATCTTTACAAATTACATTTAATATTAAACATATTTTCAAGAACAACATCTCTTAAAAGATACAATCTTAAAAGATACTATAATAGAACACAAATACTGATGTTTCACCATTACAAATGTTGTCTAACAATCAAAAATAGATTTTATACTTCATACTATAATAGAACACAAATACTGATGTTTCACCATTACAAATGTTGTCTAACAATCAAAAATAGATTTTATACTTCAGGCTGAATTCAACAGACTTCATGATTTTGTTTCCTCTCTTGGATCAGAATGTCATCAGATACACTGAGGCTACTGTATAGTTAGTACTATTAGTAAAGACTTGATTTGAAACAGAGGGAATGAACTTTTATGTTATTTTTCAGTTTTGTTTTTACTAAAAAAAAAAAAAAATAGAAAAACCCCACACAAGTATTTTTCATTTATCCCTATCAATATACTGATTCATTTTCAAAAGTGCTTGATACAATTATGTGTTCAATGTAGGTTATCTTTCAGGATGAAAGATTCCTTTCTTTGAAAATAAGTTCAAAAGCAGATGATGGAAGAGGGTTATAAGGAGACTGTTCTAAAAATCCATTTCCCTTTTTACTCCCAGTTGCACTTTTTAACTTGTACTGAAGTTTAATCCTTTTTGGTTAATCTGGCAGTATTCATTCCAGACACAGTCTGCCTGCTGCACAAAAAAAAAAAAAAAAAAAAAAAAAAAAAAAATCTACAAAAGAGACATAAAACACAGAGACCCATAATTTTTATGATAGAGAGATTTTTCATTAAAGAGAAATAAAAAGTTACCTTGATAAAGTTTCAACTTTACTTGAATCTGGGATTTCTGGAACAGGTCGATGCCTTAAAATAAAAGATCGGCTTGTTCTTGGAACCACTTTCGTGCAGCTTTGTGCACAAGAATCATATAAGTCATTGTCTATCATTTCTCCTTTAAACTGAAAGAATGGAGAACTTGGCTCACTGTCAGATAAATTGTCCTCATCTGCAAACATTGGCTGTTTGTTTTCACTGGATTTTGTCTCACATGAATAAGCGAACGAAGGAGGAGGATGGGAAAATGCTGAATGGCCATCCAAGTGCTCATCAGCTTGGTATGCAGCAGCTTCTTCCAGTGATGCATCCGGCTGAGCATTCGTCTCAATACTTCTGCTTAGATTGGTAGCTTTTAGTAAGCTGTCTGAATTCTGGTATGAACTAGAAAATTCCAAATCTGTCAAGTTATCATCTTTTCCCTCTGATAAGTTTTGCTCTGCAAGCTCAAATGTTCCTTTATCAACATGAGTTCTGTTAGCAGGTTGTACTGACAATGTTGCAGATATTAAACTAGTTTTTGTAGTCCCATCTACATTTAAATTGCTTACTGAGGATTCCTGATGCGGGGACAAACATTGCTTCTCCTCTAATCCTTTCAAGTCTTTGAGTTTTAGATTTCCAGAGAAAAGGTTTTTTTCTTGCATTTTTGAAAAAGTGGTGTCCAATTGCTTAAGAATCCTCCTGCGGTGCCCTGTAGGCAACACTCCCATTTGCTGAAGCACACTGTTATTTATTCCCACACAATCTGTCACAATGTTATAGCCATGGTCTTTAAAGTTAGGAAGATACTGTCCCAAGTTAATGTTAACCAAGAATTCTTCAATATCAATGCCATTGCCCATGGAAGACATGATGACAGCTTCATTCCGAATATTGCCCCACACAGTCATGTAGGAACACAGTCAGGATGTGAGCACATTCCCTAGCAACAAAACTCGCTGTAAATTCGTTGTCAAGTCAGCCAACAGAGAATATCCTCTTCTTCACAAGTAGGCCTCTTCAGTGCATAATGATTTGCAAACCTAAAGGGAAAAAAAAGAGCATTAAGAGGTAGAAATGTACTGGATTTAGCGGTCTACATTCACATTAATCTTGCATAAAATTCTGAAAGGCTCCCAATACTTTGTACGGCACATTTTTTAAATTGCTTATATATGAAAATTTCAAGCAGATAAACAGCATAACCTCTCCACCCTTTTGTCCTGACCTCCATGAAGTGGAAAGTAAAATCAAAGTCTTAGTACAAGTTACATGGTTTTAAACATATCATCCTAGCAGTTCATGAAGGGTGAACTACTTAAACACAAACACACACTTTTTATGTGGTACTTGACCCTACTAGGGGAGAAAAGAGAATCTAAGTGCAGAGGAGGATACAAAAGCTTTGCCCTTGCCTTGCTGGGATTTAAACAAGAAACTTCAGGCAAAGGTTTCCACTTACTCATCTTATGAGCCTTGAACTCTTTTTAGCATAGAAACATTTTTTTTTTTTCAACTGGAAAAACAAAACCACTAGCTATAGCACTCTTTGCAAAGCAGAAGCAGTAGCTTCCAGCCACTTTTTTTTTTTTTTTTTTTAAGCACAGAAACACATTTTCAACCGGAAAAGAAGGAAAACCACTGGCTAAAGCATTCTCTATGAAGCAGAAGCTGTGGCTTCAAGTCCTCTTCAACCAAAGATCCTCATGAACAAGTGAGGTAATCAAAAAAACATTATGCAAAGCTAGAGACACTTATCAATGTGGGTTTTTTTGGGGAAGGGAGGAAGGAGGTAGAGGGGGAAAGGGAGCCTTAATCGTTTAATTAGTCACTGTCAGCAGGCTGTGGAGGTCACCAAAGTAAAACCCTCAGATCAGAGCCTTCAGGAAACTGTCACAAGGGAGACGAGGAAACAGATAACTCGCATTTCAGCTCCATCAAGGGAGCAGTTGCCTTGCACACAAGTAGAGCGAAAGCCACACATAAAGCAAGTTTCAGCCTTCAAACTAGGGAACCTTAGGATTTCAAGTGTCCAAGAGATATTTTTTCCTCATTTCTTTTTCCTAACTCAGCTCTTACACTTTTCAGATCCCATCTATTTCAGCTCTGCTCTCTACTGTGCCACAGCCACATCCAAATTCGTGACTTTCACAACCCAAAGCAGGTACAGATGCTACCATTCACCTGAAACGTCATTCACCTGCGTCTTTAGAGAAGGTTTAAGATCAGCAGCAGACAACAGTTTTTTTTTCTTTTCTTTTTTTTTTTTTTTTTCTCCTCTCCCTTCCTGCATAAAGGGTAATTTGGCCTTAGGGAAACCTACTGATGAGAGCAGCTGTCCTGGCATGCAGGTACTAGCATGGGAACAGCCTGGGAAAGAAAAAGCAGCTTTGGTAAACTAAACATAAGCATAAGACTAAACGTAGCAATTTGAAAGAAAAGGAATCATAGGCCCAGAATATATCAATGGCAGAAGGGAGAGATGTTTACATTTTTCAGAATATTTCCCCCCCAAAAAAATATTTAACATCTTAAAATGGAAAGTTTGCCCTTTTTTTTTTTTGTATTGTATGAGTTACTCTAAAATAAGAAAAAAAAAAAAACTTCATCTTATAAGATTTCCCAATAACTATTGACCAAATTGGTATGCAAACAAGGAGTCAGAAATAAATCTCGATGCCTCTCTTTATTCTTGCAGACATACACAATTAAAAACAAATTTAAAATCAAGAAACAGTTATCACTGCTATCAGGGACTGCCCTTTATTATGATTATGAAATAACCAGTTGGGTCACCAAAAGTTTTTTCTTAGATAGTTTTATAAATATCTTTCTTACTCATACATTTTTAAAAGGAAGTAATGAAAAAGAGAGTAAGAGAATGTGGGGAAGAGAAAACCTCTTTACATTTATGCCATAAATATCTGTGAATAACGAGGCAGGGGGGAGGGAAAAATACTTGAACCAGTCTATATCTTCCTGGAAGACATTAAAACATTTACTATAAATGTTCCAGAAGAAATAGTGTTGTTACAAAAAGCCTTTAAATTCTTGCTATTTAACTTCACTTTTGGAGCTATTCTTCTTATCAGCTTTGATCTCTGCCTACAAATCTGAGAAGAAATGACTTACTATCTTGAACACGAAGAGCAAACAACCAGAATTTTTGAAGGAGATAAGCCAATCAGATAGCAACCTCTCAAAGTTGAGGTTTGTCATGGAGTTAGCCCTCACACAGAGATTCCCAAGGCTTTTGGATACAAACAGACTTGAATTGAGCTATACCGATTAACAGTCAGCTTCTGGATTTCACTTTGGGCCTTTCTCAATCTGAGTACTTATCTGAACACTTTTTTTTTCCTCTGAAACTTCAGCATTTTATCAAACTTTTCAAGAGTCTTTTTTCCAAGAGGTAATATTAAATAACATTGCCCATCACTCATCCTTGAACCCTGAAAAATCCAAATTTATGTACATATTTGTACCCAAATACCCAAACATATTATTTAAAGAGAAGAAGTTGCATGCAGGTATAGGATATAATACTGATTATCACAGAAATTACTACAAAGTATCAGGCAGGCACCACAGAAAAAGATTATTTCACTTGCCTATCGAAAAAAGTAAAGTATACCTTCAGAAAGTGCATAACCCCCAAAATGTTATTATATCAGTTTGCGTGCTTCAAGAATGGAGTTGAAATTGGTTGTTTCAACCTATTCTTTCTTCCCTGGTAGTCCTGGGCTTGAGATTTTTGGTCTGCCACCACCCCTCCCTGGCCTTCACATGTGGAAGGAGGGTTGTTGCTTGGTTTTGGAAAGTGTCACTCCACCACACACACCAATCCTCCCACTTCCAGTAGTAATCAAAAGGCACTGACAAAAGTGCTATTATTTATTTTTTCAGTATCTTAAGTATTCTTTCATTCTACAGGCAGTAGCGAAGCTACTAGCTTTGCCAGACCTTATTCTGGAACATATCCAGTCTGATTATTTCAGAAACTCAAGTAGCTGCAGTCTATCAGTTGTGTGGATCCTAACCTGGCTTTACACAAACCGCAGCAGAACACAGCCAATTACTCAGAAGAGAACAAACTTTGTTTTACGAACCTGCAAAATGCCATTATTTCTGCAGTGTACTTTATAACAAAACATATAGCCGCATAAGGAAGAGACTCTTCACTGAGAAGACGTTTTGACTGCAAAGTAACAGCATACTTGAAGCTGAAGCCAAAATCCTCCTTTGTTTCACTAGTAACTCACAGCAGAAGCTGTCAATGCATCCACCAAGGTTTCTGAAGCAGTGCTACAGAACTGGCTTACATACGCAGCTGGTAAAATGTCACTAAGTTCACAGTCACACACCGGCTGCAAATCTGAGGAATGAGTTACACTGACCCGTGCTTTGCTTTGACTCCCTGGAGGAAGACGCGAGTAACAGGCACCTACACATTGGCATAGCTTCCTATTCCAGGCTAAAAGATAAATACCACTGCTTCCTACGTTGCAACCTTTTATTCTTACTAAAGGTAAGAATAAAAAGAAAGGGTATAGAAAGACAGAACTCAAGAAACATCTTAGCAATCCAGAAAGGTGTAATTAATACTAACCAAAAGGCAGATTGAATTATCTCCCCATAGCTTTAGTTATAGTTATAGAGTCATAACAAATACTAACTATATATAACAGGATTATATATGCATCTATAATGGATATGATATACACACATTTATATGTTTATATCACTTTACATATATGTTTGTATCAATAGGACTGTTTATAAGTAAACAATAGTCTGTAAGATTAGTTCATGGAGTTGCACACATTCTGTATCTCAACGTCAGTTAGAAGCCGAACTTGAACAGATTTACCCATATTACTTAGAAAAAAAAAGCAAATAACAAAAGAGAAGAGAAAAAAAATGTAGAGGAATTTGTTCTTGCTTAAATAAAACTGATTCTTGCTGCATTATCATAATCTCCAATATAAAACAACCAGGCAAAACTGAAACATTCAAAATATTATTTGAAATATTACAATGGTTACTAAAGAGAAGGCTTTTCTGAAGATACTTGACTATCCTGTTTTACAGAAATAAGGATAAAATGCTGGGGAAAGAAAACCAACACACAGACAAATGAACGAAAGAACGAAATTTTGAACTTCTCTACTAAGAAAATATGACTTGGCACAGGATGGATTGCAGATCCCAAGTCTTCCTTGGGATCATCCAGCTTTCTTCCATGTAAGTCGGTATTGCAGACAATTTTCCTAATGATATTTTCGCATCCTTCCTCCTCTGTTACATAAGAGGCTTAGACAACTAGAAGCAAGAATGCAGTGGAGTAATAATTCTCTTTGTTTTATAGCAAGGGTCTGCTCTATCCTCTACACGGCTCTTGTGCCAATTGACAACAGTGGCACAGTAGGAAAAAAAAAAGTTTTTAGGACATTTCCTCACACAGAAAGTGCATTTAACACTTGAACACATAAACAGTATTGCATTGCATACAAGAACAGTCAAGTAAGATTATTTTTTTCCTTTTAAGACCACAACTGACTCAAAAAAAAAAAAGTTCAWAAAAAAAAAAAAAAAAAGAAAAAAAGGTCAAATCTTTCGAAGTGCATGGCAATACAATCACACTTTAAGTGATCAGTTCCATAAATACAAACTCAGGCTTCCTGACAACTTTTCTTACCCACATGCTAGATGAAATCCAAACAAACAGAAATGAACAAACTACTTAGACAGGTCCAACCACGGAATGAAATGCAACCTGATAGTGGTAAAACTCATTTGCTCATTGTACTTGCCATTTATATAGGCCATTTAGCCTAGTAAGATCATAAGTGCTGTAGATATCCCAGATCTTTCCAAATTCCTACATAATGCAAGCAGCCTCACAACTACATGCTCAAAAAACTCTCAAATGGCCTTTTTAAAGCAGTTAATTAGGAGGCAAGACTCAGGTAAATACAGAACAAGAAAGCTCATTGTGACTATTTGGATAGAGCCATTTTCCTTCCAAGTGCAATA